TTTTACTATTGTGTGGTGTTAATTTTGATCTAACGTAATCTGTGAATTCATGTTTAAATTTTTTTAAAGTATTATAAATTTGTCTTTCAAAACGTTCCGTTGGATTTTTGTTTAATTTTGAATAACTTTTGTCATTTAAAAGTTCATTAATTTTTTGATCATAAATAGTATAATCCATAATGACGGTCGCATTACCTTTATCAGCAGGCAAAATTTTGATTGTTTTATCTTTTTTTAAGGACATTAGTGCTTTTTGCTCTATTGAGCTTATGTTTTGTTTAATTTTGAAAGGTTTTTCAAGAATTATTTTTGATCTTATTTAATTATAAAATCTTATATAATCCGAAATGGGAGCACTATTTATCAATCTGTAATAAAAGACGTGAGGAAATTCTGTCTTTTTTAAAGACAAAAATTTTTGAGGCGAAATACCCAAAAAGCAGTTTGTAAAAATTTTTCAATGTGTTGAAATCTCAAATTCATGAACTTGCTTGTTCCAAAACTGTGAGCTTCAATCGGTTTTGGGCTGCAACTTGTGCAACCTCCACAGCTTCATTGCTCAGCTTCGCCAGCCAACTATCAGACTCTACCGGATGGTTGTCTAGTAAAGTCAAGTTTTTTATGTATTTGAGACAGACTTCCAGGTACCTAAAAACGCATTTAAGCTCGAGGGAAACCCAACCAGGATGGACGGGTACCTTCCAATGGTTGTTACAGGATTTCCCGTTAGATTCAGCTTATTCAAGTACTTCAACTTCCGCAAGTAGTAAATATCCAGCAGTTGAGCCACATTGTTATTCACGATGTCCAACACCTCCAAGTTCTCCACGTTCTCGAGTATCTTCAAAGAGGAAACCTGGAACTTCAAGAGTGAGCCTGTAGAGTACGATTAATCACACCAAAACTGCCTGATTGTAGCTCAAGTTGATGATGCGCAAGTGCTTCAAGGTATGAAGATTGGCCCTCTCGGAATCTTCGTACACTTTGATCATGTTATTTTGCAGGTACAGATAGTTGATTCGAAGCCCAGACAGATTTTCCAGCGTCTGGATACGGTTGAATGATAAATTCAGGCTACTTAAGTATCTGAAATGCCAATGAAAATGAAAAAATGAAAAAATCTTGAAAATCTTGATCTTCTTTTGAAAAATTAGAAGCAAGAGCCATCGGCTCTGAGTTCGATAAGTTAAACTGTTGAGGTATCTTTAGTACTTGCTTCAACGAATTGATTCCATCAATAGTCTGTATCAAATTATGGGACAAGTCCAGGTCAGTTATGGACCAGAAGGCGCTCAAATCTCTCATCTGCTTGATGTTGTTGTGAGACAAGTTGGCCACTGTTAGAAAAAACGGGGCTGCAAAGTCCAGGATGGTGGTTAGCAAATTATGGGAAGCATTCAGGATTTTGAGGAACGGTAAAGCTCTGAGCGGCTTCAGGCTGGTCAGTTTGTTGGAGGAAACATCCAGGTATTGCAGATAAGAATAGGCTTGTAGGACGTCAATGTTTGTCAATTTCTGGAAGACCTCTGATGAGTAATTGCCAAACAAAGGCTTGTGTAGTAGAGCACCTTGTTGGCTAAAACACACTTGGTGTAGGCGTAATGGTGAAACTCCGGCGATCGATCCAGCCTGGATAAATTAGGAGCTACTAGGATTTTACTCAGCACGCCATCAAAACCCTCTGGAGTTTCCCAGCTTGCTGATTCCGCCTGCTCTGGATGGGGCTTTGGTGTATTCCAAAGGCGCATGTTAAATCGATGCGTTATCCAGGGACCTGCACGTACAGAGTTAGAAGACACCTGGAAGTGCAGGGATTGTTTTACCAGCTTGGTCTTTGTGTGCTCTGGAAAGTCTCTCGAACTTTTCATCCTCAAAATGCGGATCTTTGGGAGGAACATCTGAAAGCTAAATAATCCCATTGGAGAGGGTTGAATTTGGGGTCCATTCATTTACTTCCTCTTGGTGAGGGTCTGGATCCTCACGACGCTCACTTGCAGCAGCTCTTAGTATTGAGGGAGCGAAATTGACCAACGAAGGCGACTCTGGAAGATTGAGTTGGTAGGCGCCAGCGGACGTTCCAAATAAGGAACTGACGGTGAATCCTTGCGAGGTAATTTCGCTGAATACAGATCGTGTAGTACTGTTATCCATAATCTGGATTTAGAGCTGTCATCTAGATGAATTTGTGTCACCCCTTGAGGGTAGTTTCTATCATTTTTTTATTTGAGGATAAAGCAGTACAGGCAATGAGCGGGATTAGCAGAGCTCTGCTAAAGCTCAGGTGATAAAGCGGATCTCTCAGTGAAATCAGTCTCCAAAGTACTTTATTTTAAAAAATAATTCCCTGGTAACAAAAGTGTCCTATTTTAAAGGTAAATATACAGGGTGGCTCACGGTCAGCGTTCATTAGAATATTTCGGGACCTAATGCTATTTGAAGGCCGCAAATTTGGATAATGGGATTTTCGGAGACGCTCCTTTCAGATGAAATAACAGCGACATTATGGGACTCCGGTTATACCAGAAGTTGTCTCGAACCTACTTATTCTGGCAATGCAATGGCTTATCCAAATGCCTGTATGACTAGTGTGGGAGATGCGAATGTTTAAGTGAGGCGACGCAATTGACTGGCTATCGATTTTGTGAGTCACATTAACGAAGCCGGCAAAAATCAGGTTCCCGATGGATTTTCCTGAAACTTTCCACGTCTATCGCATCAAATGTCCACTAAAGTTGGTAACAGACTCAACTTTCTGCGCGCTTTAGTTTGGGAGACGCGAATTCTTAAGTAAGCGAGCGCAATTGGCGGACTCCATCAATTTTGTGAGTCACATTTAGAAAGCCGGCAAAAATCAAGTTTCGGATGGATTTTTCTGAAATTTTTCCCATCGATCAGATGAAATGTCCACTAAAGTTGATAACAGACTCAACTTCCTGCGTGCTTGAGTTAGGGAGAACCGAATTTTTAAGTAAGCGAGCACAATTGACGGACACCATCAATTTTGTAAGTCACATTTAGAAAGCCGGCAAAAATCAGGTTCCGGGTGGATTTTTCTGAAACTTTCCACGTCTATCGGATCAAATGTCCACTAAAGTTGGTTTATCCACTCAACTTTCTGTGTGCTTTAGTTTGGGAGACGCGAATTTTTAAGTAAGCGAGCGCAATTGACGGACACCATCAATTTTGTCACATTTGGAAAGCTGGCAAAAATCAGGTTCCGGATGGATGTTTCTGAAACTTTCCACATCAATCGGATCAAATATCCACTAAAGTTGATAACAGATTCAACTTTCTGCGTGCTTTAGTTTGGGAGGCGCGAATTTTCAAATAAGCGAGCGCAATTGGCGGACTCCATCAATTTTGTGAGTCACATTTAGAAAGCCGGAAAAAATCAGGTTCCGGATGGATTTTTCTGAAACTTTCCACATCAATCGGATCAAATATCTACTAAAGGTGATAACAGATTCAACTTTCTGCGTGCTTTAGTTTGGGAGACGCGAATTTTTAAGTAAGCGAGCGCAATTGGCGGACACCATCAATTTTGTGAGCCACATTTAGAAAGCTGGCAAAAATCAGGTTCCGGATGGATTTTTCTGAAACTCTCCACATCAATCGGATGAAATGTTCACTAAAGTTGGTGACAGACTCAACTTTCTGCGTGCTTTAGTTTGGGAGTCGCAAATTTTTAAGTAAGAGAGCGCAATTGGCGGACACCATCAATTTTGTGAGTCACATTTGGAAAGCCGGCAAAAATCAAGTTTCGGATGGATTTTGCTGAAACTTTCCACAACAATCGGATGAAATGTCCACTAAAGTTGGTAACAGACTCAACTTCCTGCGTGCTTGAGTTAGGGAGAACCGAATTTTTAAGTAAGCGAGCGCAATTGACGGACACTATCAATTTTGTAAATCACATTTAGAAAGCCGGCAAAAATCAAGTTCCGGATGGATCTTGCTGAAACCTTCCACAACAATCGGATGAAATGTCCACTAAAGTTGGTAACAGACTCAACTTTCTGTGTGCTTTAGTTTGGGAGACGCGGATTTTTAAGTAAGCGAGCGCAATTGACGTACACCATCAATTTTGTGAGTCACATTTAGAAAGCCGGCAAAAATCAGGTTTCGGATGGATTTTGCTGAAACTTTCCACAACAATCGGACGAAATGTCCACTAAAGTTGGTAACAGACTTAACTTTCTGTGTGCTTTAGTTTGGGAGACGCGAATTTTTAAGTCTGCGAGCGCAATTGACGGACATTATCAATTTTGTGAGTCACATTTAGAAAGCCGGCAAAAATCAGGTTCCGGTTGGATCTTGCTGAAACTTTCCACAACAATCGGATGAAATGTCCACTAAAGTTGGAAACAGACTCAACTTTCTGTGTGCGTCAGTTTGGGAGACTCGAATTTTTAAGTAAGCGAGCGCAATTGACGGACACTCTCAATTTTGTGAGTCACATTAACAAAGCCGGCAAAAATCAGTTTTCAAATGGATTTTTTTGAAACTTTCCACGTCTATCGGATCAAATGTCCACTAAAGTTGGTAACAGACTCAACTTTCTGTGTGCGTTAGTTTGGGCGAACCGAATTTTTAAGTAAGCAAGCGCAATTGACGGACACCATCAATTTTGTGAGTCACATTTAGTATGCACACACCCTGTATGCTGAGTGGGTGTCTTACGTCTTAGTCACATGAAATCGAGCTTTTATTCACATTAAATTTTAAACTGCAAAATGGTTATCGAAAAAAGTTAATTTTTTATTATTATTATATTATTTCTTATTTCTCCTATAGAGGAGCGTCTCCGATGCTGCGATGCAAGGCCATGAGGACCACGTCGATTTCCTTCAAGTTCTTCTGCGCTTGAATGTAGAGCTTGCCTTCAGGCAGACAATCGGGCTCGTGCCTCAGCAGGTCGCAGGATTCCTGCAACAGTTTCTTCGATTCCTAAAAAATAACCATGGGAAAATCATCAAGGCCGATCTCAACTAACTGCCCGAAGAATCACGCACTTGCAGCACTGCAGGAAGCTGTTGAGGGTCAGCATTCCGTCTCCCTAGCTCGGCTACAGTAGCATGTAGTTCAAATAGTAGGAGACCTCGAAGTCGCGATTCACCTGCAATTGTTCTAAGTTAACCTGAGATGCAAACGGAAATTTATTTTTTCGAAGAGAAGCTAAAACTTGATCTGTAGCCTTGGATCAAGTGTAGATAAGCCAACAAGACGTGATTGTTCAAGTCCAAGTTAGTTTTAGTCCAAGTTAGTCCAAAGTTACGTTTTGGACCTTGAAGATTTATACATCTATAGATGTATGTAAGTATGTATAGAACACACTTTTCTTCCAATTATTCTCCGGAAAACTCGCAGGCAAATCAGAATATAGGCTCCAAAATGCAGACGACACTGCAATGATCGCACATGACTAAGCCAAAGGCACAAGAGGACAAAACATTGCGATCGCTGACTCACTAAGACAGAGGGACCATCAGCGTAATTAAGTTCCAGTTTCTTGACCGATATCGAAAAATTGAAAAATGGTTGACTTTCTTGGGGATTTGGTCTGGGCAGTAATGAAGAAGAAAAAGAAAAACTTTTTTTAGCCTACCAATAGGGTAGGTAGGCTAAAAAAGAGTATGTTAATAAATTGTGTAACAATAGTAGGATAATACAATATATGAAAATTCGCTCTGATAATTCGTCTGTGCAAATTGTCAGGTATGTGAATTTGACTTAATCTCATTGTTTAAATTAATAAAGGTAATGTTAATTAATAATTTTGGTGTAAATTTAATTTGGGCGTATGTTTCTCTGGTCTACTTCAGATTTTAGCATAGGTAACCATGTATGACTTAAATTAAATGAACATGAAGCAACACAATTATTTTGATTTAGTAAAATTAGTGCGCTTTCTTTAATTTTACGTTTTTTTGTGGATTGTTCTTTTGTTAAAATTGTGGAATTATTCCATTGAATTTTATGGCAATTATCGAATGCATGTTGACAAATGTGTGATTTATGATATTCTCTGTTTTTTATGTATGTTTGGTGTTCTTTGAGTCTTTTGTGTAATGGTCTTGAGGTTTCTCCTATATAAAATTTATTGCATTCGCAAGGAATTTTATAAATTACATTTTTTG